TATATATATATATATATTCACAGACAAATCTTCAGCAAAAACACTTCATTAAAAAATCTGATTTTTTGTGTATAAAAGATATGTAATATCTACTACAAGTCTGCTAAATTTTGTGAAGATACACATACTTTATTAAATCCTCATACTTAGAGAAATTAAGGGTTTTTTAAAATATTTCCTTATAAAATTGTGATCTTCAAGCTTACATAATAACAAAATTTGATTTCTTAACTATGTTTTGATGGAAAGTATAATCATATACAATGATAATAAAGTAGTTTAATTAAATTTTGAAATTTAATGTAACTTTTTAAAATATTGTGGCATGCAGGGTGAGAGGGTTAAAGTATGAACGCCATCATTTTAGTTGCATTTCATTTTTGTAATCCTTAAAAGTAAATATACACAGTAAATAGAATGTCTGTTTTATCTTCAAAACAAAACAGCACAATCAAGTAAAAAATATTTATGCATAAATTTACAAAATGTTTATTTAGTTCATTTTCTTCCTACCTCCTACAGCATATTATTATATCACTTGTCATTACAGGAGACTCGCATGTTCACCCCACATTAATAGACACAGGAGGCCAACATCCCTGTGTTAAAAATACATGACCAATAGAATCAAATTACTTCATCATATTGCATAGTCAGAGGCCAAACAAAAGTAGCCCCCTCTCCACCAGTATTATTAGGCCTGGGAGTAGGAGTTTAGTTGAAAAATATTTTTTCAATCTCCCTAATTCAATAATTTTAAATTATGGTGAGGCAGATAAATTATCCCTATGTACAAGAAAACCTAATGTGTGGAGAACTTGCTCATAATTTTATGAATATCAGATTCTGACCACTATACATGTACAAAAATCACATTTTATTATGGTGAATATGGCTTTTCAACCTTTTTTAAATTTAACTTTCAGTTAATATTTATTAAAACACAATTTCTGGAAAAAATGCTAAGTGAAGTTTCTGGCCTGAATCAATTTTTACAGACATGTAGTTACTACAAGTTGGATGTTTTCTTTCTTCTTCATACTTTCCACTGACATTGGAGAGAAAATTACTAACACTTCTAAAACATTTGTGGATACTCATACTAAAATGATCTTTTACTCTGGTTACATTATTACACTTAATGTAAATCACCTCATGCTGAAATTGTTGTTAAATCCACTTAAGAAGCTTTAATGATTACGTACAGTAGGTAATTATATGATAGCATAAATAGTTATGTAACTGATTTGTTTAGAAATAAGTCATAAATTTTTATTGTTCTGTTTATAAAAATATAACTTTAATAATAAAACCCAACTTCAAATTCACTGATTATGCGTAACAAATCCAACATAGGTTAACTGCAGAAGTCACAACTGTTGCCTGGTATTTTGTGGAGTGTCTAAGCTAGAGCTAGGTGATTTAATTGATTACTTGTGGTGAGCGATTACATTGATTATTATCACGCAAGATTATCTATTGATGAAAATTAGTGTTTCCAGTTATTATTGTTTTCAATCACTCCACCAACTGATTAATTGAAATTCTGATTATATTGACAGTCATGAAAATAATGAACTAACCAAAATTAGTGTTTCAAATTATTACAGTTTTCAGTTACTCCAACAATCTATTAATCAAAATTATAATTAAATTGTCTGGCATGAAAATAATCAACTAATCAAAATTAATCACCCTGTATTTGTCATGGCAGAGCTACTAAGACTATCTCTCACTGTCATTAATTTTTAGCTGCTTACTAGAGGGAAGGCAGTTTGCTGACAGCTTCCACAACATACTTTTTTTTGATGAATTGTTAACTATAGGGAAGGTAACAATTTTAGCAGCAACCTCTGCCAAACGGTTTTTTTCTTTTGAACTTCTAACCAGAGGGAAGACCTGTCATCATCAGGTACAAAACCTTGTCAAAACGTTGTACATTTGCTGTTATGTTAAACTTATATTAAAGTTTTTCTTCATTACCCATTCAAGCCATCTCCAGCCATTACATTGTTAATATGTTATAACCTATTCTTGTTCTTAAAAAATTACTTGATGATTTCCAAAAGACCAAACTATTAGTAACTCACGTCATAAGATAGCAGCAATGCTTCACCTTAGAACTATCTAAGTTATTGGTTCTAAGTGTCACTAAAAGAGTGTAACACAAGTTATATTACAGACAGTGTCCACTCTATGTTGGAAACTCAGTACACATGACTTCTACATAGATAAATATATTATAGGTGAGCTAATTGATATTTCAATTGATTTGTTATACGAAACGTATAAATCAATTATAACACAACAAGGTTTCAAAAGACCGTTAGTATAAGCGTTGACTTGTTACCAAAGGTCAACATGATCAATAGAAACAAGTAATAAGAACATCATCTTTTTGGATAAAATCTATTCTCAAACATTTCAGCATGTGAGTGTAGTGGAACATAAATAATGTCACAATAACTTGAACATTGGTAATTTTGTTATCATAAGCTTTACCTCTACCAGATGAGCATTAGCCTTTAGTAAAGAGAACAGTAAATTCACATTGCCACTGTTTAGTCTATCTTGCACAGAAACCTATTTATCAGAAGATGTGTTTTTCTGATAATGTTGTAAAAAGAGAATTTCAAATTTTTTCTTAGTTGTTTCCATTCTCTTTATGAGCACAGTGCTTATGGGAAAATCCAAGTATTTTATAATAAAATACAAACTATATATTTTCAAAATATATCTCAGTTCCTCTTAGGATTAACAGCAGCCATTCATTAAAAAAAAAATATATAAATATATATATATATATATA